TGCGTGTCATCCGTTCATCTCCTAGCTGTTTTCAAATCAGCTCTTTTTTTACAGTAACTTAGGAGATCAGTTGTCGCTCATGCACGGTGCACCCAAGCTCTTGCAGTTCGGCCGACCGTCCATTCCGCAGCTGCGTGCACCCAAGCTCTCGCAGTAAATTCTAAAAAAAATAAAATAAATCTCGTTGTTTAGCGACTGACGCTACGGGCCATGAACAGGATATTCCAGGCTCAGGGACGACCGGTCAAGACCCAGCTCCGCTTCCACGATTGATCTTTTGTGGCCTCCATTACTGACTAATCTCTACCTTGAAAGGGACCGTGCATCCACTCCAGCCACAAAACAGACGCCTTCACTGGATATATTGCTGCTCATATCCTTCCTACTGCCACTTGTGGAAGCTCTCCCCTGCCGCTTTGCTCTTCTTCTTCTATCGCTGATTGCTTGCTTTGGGTTCTTCCACTACTGTCTGCAACTCCAGATCTCGTTCTAGTTCTACTTGCGTAATTCTGGAAAGGGGACATTGCTCGTTTGTGATCTTTTCTTGAAGCAGATATCTTGAAAGACAGGAGATTCACAGTAAGTACTTCTGTTCTTAAATTCTTTCTTTACCCGTGTTTAACGTTATCATCTGTTAGTTCTATAAATTTTTGTGTGTAAACATTGCTCCTTAACTAGTGTATGTCTATCGTTGGAAAGGTATCATCTCTGGGTGAGTGTTGGATGGGTCTGAAATCACCTCTCTCCCTCCTCTCTTCGCTGTTTACAGAAACGGTTTTTCTTGTCGCCCTAGTGCGGACATCTAAACTCCTCTTCACTAGGCAGCAAAAGCTTCTCCAGGTAATCACCCGCCAATACCGTCGGGAAGCGCTAAAATGGGTGACCCCAGATCTAGGAAAATCCAACCGGCAAGGCGTCCTCGGTGAACAGAGCCACGAACAGCGACAACCCATTGGAAGAACTGGGATGTGGAGGGCTCCAATGTCACTGGAGCCGCGATGCCACCTTCGTTGGCGAGTGCAACGACGACCAAACTCCGGGTGGTGGAGATGGTAGGTGTGGCGTTTGGAACTACATGAGGCGGGACGGGGGGTGTCGAGCGCGCTAGAGCTGCAGCCTTCGATGGTGAGCAGTTGAGGGCGGGCAGTGGCGAAGTCCAGTGCGAAGACGCGGAGTAGAGAAGTGGGCGCAGGGGCCAGCCCTGCAGGCTGCCGCCACTGCCAGATCTGGCGATGACCAATGCAGATGGAGAGGGGGCCTGCAAATCAGTGGCGGAGCTAGCGACATATGGCTGAGGGGCCAAATGACAAAATATATTTTTTAAAGGGGTCAAAAACTACATTTCTCTCAATTAATGGCACCCAAATACAGAGCTTCTTCACAAAAAGTCCAAGAGCTGAGGGGGCCATGGCACCTGCAGTAATACACATAGCTCCGCCAGTGCTGCAAATAGAAAACCTGGCTTAAGCATACTTTCAAAACGGAA